TATATTTCGTATTTTTCACGTAAGCGTTCGAATACGTTTGGTGAACATGTTTTAACAGTCTTAACCGGTGAAAGAATATGTTGCCAAAATCTTCACCAGTAACATCTAGCACTAGACATGTGTCCCTTTGTTCGCTCAGCGTAAGTTATTTCTGTGCGTATATACGCTAAGACGCTCATAAATTACGTAACACTACTAGTCATCCGCAATACGGATATGTACGTTGATGATACACAGTTTACCAGGCTTTTGTGTAGGGTACGTTTTTCCGCAAATGGCGCACATCAGAATCCATGCAGTCAGCAGCCGGTTGTTCTTTCGACGTTTTTACAAACTGATTTGAATCAAGAATCAGCTGTACACGGCGAAAGATATCGACGCGTTGGTCTATCGGGAGAAATAATAAGCACGATAACACTAGCGCAGACCAGAGCGTCGCTGGCACCAGACGCTGACGATGGCGAAATGCACGTTCTAACGCGAAGTCCTAAGCATCGGCGCAGCACTGACTGACGTATGCTCTTAATATTATCACCACCGTCATCAAAACCCCCGTTAGGCAGTTGAATCATTGGTGGTTGCTAACGAAAAGCCAGATGGCGAAATACAATATCGCCGTTAGGCTGAGTTTACCGTGCAGAGGTGGAACATTGGCACACCCCATTCGGGCGTTGGCGCCGCTGCTGCCAACATTTTTCGAACTCTGAACGGATCCCGACAGCGTACGCAGCAGCGTTACGCATTACAGAATCTATTAATAGCACAAGTCTCTCGACAAGAGCAGCTTATAGTACCGATACGGAGGCCTTCGGTCGTACAGCGCGGAGTTTAATACGATGCTAACGAGACGACGATGGTATATGGGAGCCGAAACCACGTAAGTTAGGTTGCCTTTTAAGGGTCTTTGTTAGCGGTCGCGTAACACATTTGCACACGTTTCGCACATGAACGTACATGCAAAATATATCTACACCCTCTGATCTGGCTCGGTCTACTAGACAAACGGGTCATCTGAAGCACACGATTCAAAGCACTGCTTCTGGCAGCACCTGGTAGCGAATAAAACACCTGTACAATATGATTACAGTTTCTCCAAGGTAGATATAGCACAACTATCCAAGAAAATAACGATCTGCTCTGCAAAATTCTATGAACGCCGTTTATCCAAGCGATTTAAACAAACAAATCGCCTGTCTATACTTGGCCACTGTACACTTTACAAGTTTTTGTGTCTTACGTCATTCAGCATTTGCTACTGGCGAAACGTATGCTTTTTCAGTGTATTTCAATTACGATCATTGTTATCGTGTAATTCATGAAGTAACTCATGTTTTGTTTACATCTAATTTACGTGACGGCATCAAGCGAGGTAAGCGGGGCGTAACGAAAGTGTCGATTTCTACAAGGCTGTAGCACAAAACTGACGCGCGCCGCAGAACACTGCCGTAATTTTTCTTTGTTTCTGATGAACGTTAAAGATGACGCTGTGTCACTAGTCCGTAACAATAAACGAATCCACTCTATACGATTGATGAAATCGCTTATAACCATATTTTACTCTACCTATGGAGGTAAACACATACGTCCATATTGCCTTCATGATAGGCTATCTTCGCACCTTCTGTTCACGATTGCTTTGCATGATTATCTGCAGCTATACAGACCCACTAATATAACAACAGAAAACTTAACGAAAACCGTAGTGCTAAGTGGCAATGGCTGACAACTTTGCTTCCCGTTAAACAAAAGCTATTTTTTATAATTAACTTTTTCGTAATCTTTTTTCAGTTAAGTTTGTTGAAATACACGACATACTATTCTACATGCTGCTGGTACTTGATCGTTTCATCGATAATTGCGTTTAAATAAAATTATGAATGCTGACAGATAGGACAGGACGATGACAGGAAAGATGAAACGGCTGAGAACAATGTAACTTATCTAAATATCAATGTCAACTATGACTGATGCCATAGCAAAAAACAAGCTACGATGTCAACCAGACTAAGCTTTGTCATCCAAATCCGCGTAAAAGCAGTTCCAAAAGATGAAGAAATTTCCATACCACTAGTAACAACGTTTCACTAATTTGATCAGGTTAATCCTGAACACAGGTACACCGCTATTACGGGTAGATCTTTTCGACAATACAGACACGGAACGAATCGGTTCCGCCGTAGATGCGGATCCGCCGGACGTCGTCCATAAATACTGAAAAATTAAAAAAAAAAACACGAAAATTGACATATTCGTCAGGTTGAACAGCCCGTATAGATGTCACCCTGTGTTGATAACGTTTATCTACGAATCGCAAATGGCAAAATAATATACTACTTAAAAAGTAATAACAGTGGGGTCTGAAATCAATAACGAGATGGCACAGGAGCCAGCAAGCGTCTGCGACAATTCCAGTTTAATTTTTTTTCCATTTGTCCCTATCGAACGATTTCTAGCTATTTAGATGAGCCACGGTCAGTAACGGTAATAGCCATCAACTTGTAATATTACAGATTGAACTATCTATGTTTCTCTTACTTCTGTCACAGTGTTAAAGTGACGGAGAGAAAAAAAACATCGGGGAAAATTGTATTTTATCAAGCACGCGCTATAATTTATTCATTGAAAATGTGTAGTCTATTGACATGGATGGGCTGTTGCGTTTCGGCTTAATCGACCTATCGATTGCTTCCATAAATATACACAGACACAAATAACATTGGGTATAATTCTAGAATCGACAAGTACGGTGCACCCAGTAGATTGACCTATAGTATTTGTTACTCGTATTTAAGCGAGGGTTTATACGCTAACTTGAACAATGTTTAAATATCGTCATCCAAAAGAAGAACTGCTGAAGATTTCCGTATTTCGGATTGCCTAAATCTCGTCAAAATAACGTTTAAACTTAATCTTAAATAATAAGAGAGACCTAACTAGATATAAAGCAATCGCGTTAATAAACATTTAGAATTTCCGGTGGAGTCGGATTATTGTAGCTACCTAATTTTCCCCCCTTGTCACTATTCGCCTGGACGTCCGCATGCAGTAACAGATCTTACGACACCTGTCGAAGCACAATATGTTGAAGCTATGAGAAATAGCAGCAGAAAACTAGCATTCCTTAGCCAGAATTTACACGCAGTATGACGAGGCATATAGGCTTAGAAGTCCGGCGGGCGTCTACGGTAATCCTAGTTTGATTCCTTTGGATCCTTGAAAATACTTCAGTAAAGCTCGGTGCAACTCGCGCGCAAGTGGCAATACAGTGACAATTAGCTTCGTATATTTGCAGCGGTCAGATTAGTAGCCGTGTGCAATGTATATCCGAAATATGTTTCGTTTTGCCTCGTAGTCAGTCTGCCGCTGAGCATTGTTTCAGTTGATCGGGCCTGATCTGCTACTGTCTTTGTTGTCTCTGATGAAATCTTTTGTTAGCCACCTACTTGGTTCAAACAGAAGTCGCGTTGTAAGCAATACCCAATGGATGGATACAAGGATGTTTTCTCGCTGAAGTAGCTACGTCAGATGGTTACCCCAACGACATACTACTTATCTTAATCACTTCCTGCACTAGCCAAAATCACGACTGCTTGACGTTGTGCCACAAAGTGGCTACTTCATAAGCTGACAGTTTAGCGAAAAACGGACAGAACGATATTTCACTGCTGCACCAGCAATGGCGAAGAAGCTATGGGGGCATTCTATCTACCACACTGTTGGACTGGCTCTATTTGTCGCTCTTTGAATTCAAACAAACTTATATGGGTTTGACAGGCGAACTGATTTTATTTGATAGACAAAACCCCTTTATTACGGATTACCGGAGCTGCCCTTCCGTTCCCTGCAAGCAGAACCCATTAAGCAAACTAAACATGATGCTACACGCTAAGTATAAAGAATGTTTAGTAAAAGCAGGTAAGGGGGTAAAATTCCAGATGATGAAGACACTCAAATCATGCATAACTTCTTCGGCTGGGAAACAATCAGAGCATGGGCATTTTCCTAACTCCTTGATCATTGCAGGAACCATGAAGATGACCATCGACTCCTAGAAGAAATATAGACACCCATAGATGGGTGCGTCAGTCTTCTAGCAGACAGATACGGTTCGTGAAATGGCAGTTGTGTCATTAAATATATAAGGATGTAATCGATTAAAGCTAACGCAACAATTGCCCGTATGCAAATGTTTTGCGTCTATATAAAAAGGTACCCATTCTCTTATTAGCAGAACATATATGTCTGAATATGTACGTTTTAGCGTACATATACCTCTTGAGATGAAAAAAACCCTGTACAAGGTTTTTTTTTATTGGTCCGAATGCTCAACTACGAGGACGATACGTTCTGAAATGAAGCGGAGCGTCCAATATACTGGTGTGACTTCAGAGTAAAGATTTTCTAATTTACATATCTTTGTTGAGTTCATTTGTCTTTCTAGCCAGTTTAGCTTCTGCTGTTGCACTGCTTCCGTAGTAAGAGATCTCGATTAATTCTACTAGCGAGCGACAAAGTAAAGGACAACTATCTGCTATTTTGCAGAGCTGTCCCTCTATTGTATATATAGATAGGCAGGACGTCCACCCTCGGTTCGACGGTATAAGGTGCACACGGTTTCTCTAGTTCCTAGCAGATCCTCTATATATTATAGCCAATATCGGCGTTGTCGGGGGGTCAATATAATGACGCTTGACCACCTTCTACAGGACTTTCTGATAATTAATCGATGGACGTATTGAAAATGACAAAAAGTACTTATATGAAAATCGATCTCACTAGTAGTATGTTTGACATTTAATGATTAAGCAATCAAGGGCTTTTGTCACGTATCGGGTACATCCGGCTCTGAAAGTTGGCTAAGTTGTAGATTCGGTGGGTTGACACCCATCCCATTCCATTCAATCAACGCCTCCCTGCGGCAAATGATAACTTCATTTTTTCTCTTTTTTTTTTGCCAGCACGTGGCATCGCAACACCGACGGTATACCATCATAGTAGCATCGGACAAACCCGCAGCCATAGGCGAGTAAGCCAGCTTTCGGCCGAATTACCATCGAGATGTGACATCGTTTCGGTTGCTCATTATCTTTCTAGTTTTTTATGTGCACGGTATTTTTTTTTTATCAAAGCATGCACATATTGAAACGAATATTCTGCTGCATCGTAATAATTGTACCTGTCCTGTGGACTTTGACGACTTTAAGCCTGCCCCTAACAAAAACGGTACATTCTCGAAACAAAGACGTGCAAAGCGTCGTGGCTTTTTTTTTGTTTGGCTTTGCAGCAAAGATTCTTTTATCATACATACACGGTAACGTTCACCTCCTTATTCTGCGTGTGCATGCAACATGTGAAATGCTGTATGACGCGTCCGTGGGTCTCCTTGGGCTGGATTGTTGACAAAAAAAAATCGATTGCCACCTGTGCATCAGCCAAAAGGTTGGACAACGATGTGTAGTCGTAGCTTTCTACATTTTATAAAAGGATGTGCGTTTGTCTGCTCTAGCAGTGCTGTTCGGCATCTGTCTCGCATGAGTCGAATAAACTATGAAAATAAATCAGCTGCTGATCTATGAAGTAGCGTTCACACAGTCGCTCGCTAGCGGACGAAGCTATGCATGCAGTGCGACAACGCGCAACTAACCAGATGATCATCGAGCTTACTGCTTGAAGACTTCGTTCGGTGAGAAGATCGCCGCCGGCTCGATATCGGAAAATCAGACCCACCTAGAAAGGACAACGTTTTTTCATCGAATAAATAGAGGCAGTCCAGGAGATAATTCTAGTTCAAGCACAACAAAGCCAGCGTCGTTGATGTTTTGCTGATTTTCCTATGACCTAAATATGTCATATCATAGAAAAACATAACTTGGAATGTTGTAGAACGCATTTGGAACGCATTAAAGTACGCTTTTTATGGGTTTTCAAAAAGACAAATAGAAAATACCTCGTGAAATATTGTCGCGCGTTAAATATGCGTTCTTTATAGATTCGTTCGTACGGAGATGATGATATCGTATGCTAGAGTCTAATGACTGAGGAGGTCAGCACATGGCAACGCTTCCCTGATGAATCATTGCATGACTGATAGATTTGCCAACGTAAAACGAGCTGCCCCGATAATACATGCATCTCCATGGTATAGAACTCCGTTTTGTTTTTCGAAGTTGTTTCTATCGAAGTTATTGTCGTAACAACGATGACAATAAAGGCAGCAGTGGCGTTTACCTATATTCCATATGCGCCACCATAGAATGGACTGTGTATAGCTGTAATGCAAAGGCGTACCGTTGCCCCTAGGGGCAACCAGTCTGGGACGCCAGCAGCAAAAGGCAGCTGAATTTTGGAATTAGAAGAAAGGATAGATAACCAACGAAAGGCCAAAACCATAGCACGAAGTTACAATTGTAGACGTATCGGAATTGTAAACAACATGTCGACAAACTATTGCATGGCATACAGGCACGAACTTGGAAGTGTATAGGATGAAATAGAATACTGATTTTATATATACATACAGGTGAATGTACATCATGCATTTCTATGTGCCGCTGAGTGCAAATAGGCTAAGGAATAAACATACATGGGGCTAGTTCCCCGGGTCGGATGCAGTACGAATTTGTGGGTACAATACGGCATACAAAAGCGATCAGTCGACCAATCAGCCGATCAATAAAACAACAGTGCTCGAACGATGGTCAGGCGCCAGCAGAGGAATCAGAGTACAATGCCAGCACCGTTAATGGCAGTCTGGCTGTGATAGAACTAGTGCAGGGAAGCAATAAGCTGGCACTGGCTGAATTGAAATAAGTTGCTATATGATTTACTCTCAGTAGGTAAGACAACGCATGTACGTACGTACGTACGTGCAGATGACACGGCATATTAAGTTGTTGTATGTGAGAAGATGAGAGGAAGCTGATGCATCAGCTGGCGACCTTTGTCTAAAATGGCAAAGGTCAACTAAAACACGTTGCTATAAGAGGAAATAATCTTCCGAAGAAAGAAATAGGGGAAAAGTAAAATGTAGATTTGTTACATTAGGGATGTGATCGAGGCAGCCGTAACACAATGACTGAAAAGGTACAATAGACAAATACCATACACTAGCAGCCTAGATGTCCGGCGACATTCGGCCGATTCGTCGCAATAGTGACCGGTCAAAGTGCGGTCAGAGCGACTAATAGTATAACAATGATTAACTGGCCTACAACGATGGCTCTATACAAAGCATTAGCCACTTATTATTGAGATTATTAGGGCAAATTTCGACATTTTGAAAAAGCTGCCCGCTAACAACGACCCGAACTGTTGCAATCGTACGTAAAAAGGTATCGGATTAAAGAAACGCATCATGCGGTGCGTCGCGAACCCGTTAAGCTATAAGGTTACACGGCGTCATGACGTTTCGAATGTTCAGCGCTATAAGTCAAATAGGACACTAACAAAACGGAACGTTTTTTAGCTTCTGCAGCCAAATGTAAATTAGAATGTTTAGAGGCCTAAAGGTACTACTAAATGCATTTATTCATATTGATGCTCACTCATAGTATCATATATGAGCCATCTCCGTTCTAACGTGCTCAAATCTACGTTTGATCGATCTTAGGACCTATTTTTTTTTTTTTTTTTTTTTTGTTGAGTTAGCTTAATTACCTCGACAATCTGACAACATCTTTTACAGAATTCGCAGCATAAGCACTTTCGAAATGGCTAAAAAGACGACAGACGTAAGTTAGTTGGTGACTTCCCGAGTTAAAAAATCGAAATCCGATTTAATGAACGCCATTACATCAGAAACTACGAAGATAGGATTTAGTAAACTCAGCCTAAAGTGGAGCTCAGGTCCACCGTCCAGTCGTTGCAACACTATCACTGTATACAAATATAAGGGAGAATAACTAATCCTTTTTCATACACAAAAATCAGTTTGTTTCAACTATAGAAAATAAATAAAGACTATAAAGAAAATACTTAGGGACCCATGCCAGGAACTTCTCCATCTACTCAACGATAGAGGAAAGGAGACAGTTTACAATCCTCGTCAATTTGTCCTTTCGGCTTATCTTTTGCTTTAAGCGATATCGCAATGTTGCCAAATGGCACTGAAATTGAATAGGCTCGACCGTCAAAAGTTATACAATGACCAGCATACGATTAAGCAGACGAAAGGATCTGCGTTGAGCAGGATCTTCAACTGAATCAACTACTGGTCCGTCGTTGATTTCTCTTGATTCTTCTATGATTTCTATCTTCCTCATATTGGCGACATTAATGGCAACCTGGAACAAAGACAATCAAGAAAAAAGTTGATACCTTTAGGAAACCTGATGGCCTCCAGAAAGCCGGGAAATCCAATGATCAAGATAGGTTGGCAGGATAGTGGTCAAATCGGCTACATGATAACATCATGTCATAGCGTGTGGAACATCCACAGTCGCGGAAAAGGCAACTGGACCCTTGTCACTGCTAGGACGCGACGAGGCACCGCCTCTCACAAAGCAGGGATGCTTGAAAGTCAAAAGGCGGCAGTGATATACTACTGTCGATGCTATTGGTAAGCGCAACAGCAATGAGACGGAAGTATTCCATCTGATCTGATCTGCCACGTGTGCAGATTGACAGCGGAAGCCACAACACGCTGTTAGCAGAGCTATGGCTAGGTGTGGTTATATCAGAATTGGTGCGCCCATCCGCATCTAGCGTATGTAGAAAATGGGGCAATGTGTGGGTGGTGCAGAACGGGGTCGCCTTTGAAAAACAGGTAAAAAAAAGAGTTGACGGATGCGGTCAGATAATTATTTAGAATATATATAAAATTAGGTATTTTGAAGTGTTGCCAGTAAAGGATAGCTGTCCAAAGGCAACCAGAAGGAACTAAGAAGAGTGCGGATAGAGCTGCGCGTTTGTATCTACAATAGTGCTCCAGGATATGCTCATGACTTTGTTGAACTTTTTTGTATGTAACATTTATATACAGAACAATGAAATATAATGTATAGAAACCCAATAACTATTGATCTTGGCCGGACAAAATGTCACTCCTTGGTTAGATGATAGTTAGAGTCTTGCACATTTTTGATAGGTAAAGCCTATGCGGCAACTATCTGTGCGATGTACACGAGAATAAAGTGTTATCTCTGAAAAACACGTTATAGATAAACTTATTAGTGGAAAGAGATAGGAACTGCTAAAGACGATATGAAGAAGCTGTAAGTTTATTTGTAAGTTCTTTGTTTGATAACACCAGTTTACGATGAAGCATGATAGAGTTTTGTAAGGACGCGTAAAGTTTGTAAAGTAATATCATTACTTAGAGTGCGTTAAGCGATTTATAAACGCTAAATCGGTGGTCTTTTGCCTTTAAAATAACACTGTATGCTATACGTTAGATGAGTGGATTCCTGCAAACGTTGTTTGCAGTAAAAAGGAAATGCGTGACGACTTAACGACGTCACGTCTCCAACGTGTCTCCAGTATGCAAGCGGACCCTGATTATGTCGGACCCACCAATCATTGCTCGTTTTTCCGCGTGGTCTCTGAATACGAACCCGTTTCAGTGGTTTTCGGAGACGGTGGGTTAGAATCGTGCTCATAGAAGTAGAAGTAATAGGCCATTGACTGTTTACTGTGTTGGCTGCAGATATCAGAGTCGGTATGTCACGTGATGTCGAGGTAGGCAAGTGCCTACATCAAACGCCGAGTGTGGTCACGTAAAGCGCCGCGATAGCCGATACTAAATTCCTTCGGGACACCCGAAGGGTGTTATCGTGTACATATCGTATTACCTCAACAAGGACCAAGAAGAAGCGTGGCCCCGATTCTCGGTTCCCGGCACAAATTAATGACAGGACCGTAAGGATTCGACTCTTGTCGCTGTTCCCTTCTGAAGCAAAAGCCCCCTGCACCTACGCGTACGGTCAATATAGTCATGCACGATTACCTTGACACCGTTGCAGACACCTCTGATGTCAACGAACCGTGTAAATTTTTTGTCTCGCAATGCTTCGTGGTGATCTGCGATGCTTATACTTTTCATATAATTAGCCAGCTTTTCGCTTCTTCGATGATTTTATGGAACGTGAATACATCAATAATGTAAGAAAGACAAATTGAAACTATGGTAAAGTGTGCATTATAATGTGTGCATATTTGAATAATAACTAATAGTATATAAAGCTATTTCTGGTGGTTTATGCGCTATGTTGGGTTTTGGTCTCAAGTTTTGTTAGTATAGACCTGCTATCAAAGATGTCTAGATCCACGGAAGCCTAAATACAGGTGCTAGTGAAAAGTATAGAAAACATAGATATGCGTAAACAACCAACCAATGTCTGTATTCTCCAAGGCTTACCTTAGACAACCACAATAAGACGACGATTTTACCAAAAACCAGTGACCTTCCCTTTCCGCTCCGTCTGCTTTTTAATCCACTCTGAAGTTTGATTGAATCGCACATAGTCTTATACTCACTTAGCTGCCTCACTATATATCTGACCTTCGTTTTCCCTCCTGCGTATTCCATCCAACTGACAACTGCGCTTGTATACTACAAAAGTCAAAGGTGACGAGCCGCTGTTCTCATAAGGTAATCCTCATGTTTCTTGACACCCGTACAGACTTCTCACCTTTGAGAACACAGCCTCTAGACTCCGCTATTCTCGTGTCAGGACTTCTTTACATACTTCCCTAAAGGCAATGAATTATCCTAGGATTTCGAACAAGTTCTTGTAGATCGGATCTCTGCTTTCGTCACTTCTTCGTCTACCAGCTGGACGAATTTTCCCCAAGAAGCCCCACTAATCTTCACTTCTCGCATGATGTCTGGCGGCAAGCCCGTCCGCCACCACTACTGTAGTAGGTCTGTAGTAAGTCGTAGCTGTAAGGAGCCTGTCTATATGAAGTGGCGACGAAAAAACAGAAAGACCAGAAAGCCTTCGTTTGCTCCTGTTTCCTAACATGATGAGAGCTCCTTCTCTCATCCTCACGCCCGATTTGTACGGACGTTATCTCCGCTAGCAGGATGATCAACTGGTATAAGGCAGGGGAAAAAGCTTCGGCTAGGGAAAGGACGCCCGTTGGCATCCGGCACTCTCCTTTGGCAGAAGAAAGCTACGGGCTTCAGTAGGCAGCAAGCAGTCTTCTGCAAAACCCGAAGGAAAACGAAAACTTAAAATGGCATCAAGTTTTTTTTACGTTGCAAGCAATTGGGGGCTGATGTTTTAGGCAAAGCTGCTTAATAATGAGATTGTCAACCTGCTTGATCGTTTCTTCTTGGAGGAACAGCAGAACGGACACCGCTGGCACCCCAGGAGCCTAACACAGACTTATCGGTTAAGTGTTTCGGACGGCTTGTCGAATAAAGTTCCACCTTTATGATAACGATGCATAGATGCCGTTAGTCGCAAACGTTTGCGACCAATTCGTATTCGTATTTACCCTTCTCGGCAACAATCATTTAGGTCTAGGTCATATATGCAGTTGTTATTGTGTTTGGAGTTCAAATGGCATCCATTTACTGCCGCCTCTTCCACTAGCTGCAGAGATTTAATAAAGCAAATATCGCCTTATGGACGATCTCGTTTTAGTCATTCTTCAATTATAAACCTGAAAAACAATGAAGTAAGTTTTATTAATCTGAATTCTGCGTATTTATGTAATAGCAGATTATTTTTTTAGCGTCCGCTGTATTGATACGGAAAATTATAAAGTTTGTTGTCGCATAAATATTCTCGATGAACAGTCAGTTACTTTTCTTTATATTTCCTGTAGATTGATAAATTTTTTTTTGAGCAATGCTTCTTAAATTTAAAGAAAGCCAAGTCACATTTTGCCACACCAACTTACTATAGCAGCAGCAGCAGCAGCAAAAGTACCACCATAGACTTGACAATAAAATAGATCGGATGTTTCGTACATCTGTTTTTTTTTAAATTATTAACAAAACAATTGTAATAACATATGAAAATATTGATCAGTGGATGCATTTCTACTATTCACACGGTACTAGGGTAGTCTCATCGCCTAAATTCATACTTATCTAACATTCATTAACTTACTCAAAGCCAATAACTCATATATCCCATGGTCATTTTACAGAGAACCGTACTGCCCAAGAGGAAATTTTGTCTGAATCCTTCAATCAAGCGTCATCTCAGCAAAAACAAGATGTCGGTTCTTGTTAATAAATAAACATCAAAATATAGTAAATAAGATGAAAAACAAAATCAGATACGAATCGATTATTGTTGTGTTACTCGATATCGTCGAAGAGGGGATTCTGTCGGTGTTTGTTTTTATTACGCCGCCAATGCCTGTCGAACGATATCTTCGATTAGCCTTTTGCTTGTTTTGTCAGGTTGTCTACCGAATCGCAGTGATCAGTATTTTATCTTGCTGAGTCCGACTTGCGTTAAGCTAGCTCCGGATTTTTGCCACACGTATCTGTGGCAGTGGCGGAGCTACCAAATGACCGTTGTTTATTTACTTCTGAACGCTTTCCTGTTGCCATTGTTACCACTGCTGCTGCCGCCGTTGTTTCATTTGAGAATTCGGCAAAAAGATTGTACACGGGCAAACATCGATACAAATTGAAATGCGCCAACGCGTGTGTATCAATTCAGATACACACGTAGTAGGTGTAAACACAGTGCGGATTCGAATTTTTGCGCCAATATCCACCAACTGTTTTTAGTGCTGATACTATTAATGATAGGACCGGCGGCAAATCTCCGCTTGTATATTTAGCCGAGGAAGCTCGCAGGCACCAGGAACGTAGCCGAAGTCGACTAACGAACTCAGGTTCTACAATCGTACTATAGTTCTTCTAATTCTGTTGCGTTTCTTTCCTTTCGTCAAAAAAACTTCTGATTTACAGCGATGCGAATGACTCAGAGAGGACTAACAGGCTAAATGGACCGAGCTTGGATTTTTAGACAGCTCTCAACTGATCTAGTTCGTTCTCCTTCGGTATGCATTTCATCTCAGTGTGATAGACTATGTAGAACAGCCAGGAACTGCACCTCGGGGCCTGAAACCGTTTCGCGCTATGTTTCCAATGCAGGTACCTATCTAGCAGCCACTCCGACTTTTGCCGACCAGATGCCAATGATCTAGGCGTGTCGGAGAATTCGCCATACTTTAACCGGATCCACTTGTTACCTACCTACCTACCTATAGTTTCTTGTTAGTTAGTTCATGGTGAAGATATGCAATCAGACAGAGAAGAACGGCCTCATCCAGGATGGGCCCGTGAACAAATGCATGGTCTCGCATTTGAGCAGTCGCTATTTTTTTTGTCCCTCGGATCTTTTTTTTGCTTTCTCTCTCTCTATCCGTAGTGCTCCGTTGTTCCAAGTGAGAACTACGAATGAAAACTGGTTTTTTCGTTGGAACGACACAGTCCAGCCGAGTGTAGCCTAATCAAGGGATTGCTGGACGTTACGAGAATAGCATTGATTTATGCAATATCTCACCCTATTAAAAATTCTTAGGTCAACTAACTACGATGATACAGTTACTTTCTAAGCTACAGCATTAGGTATATGAAGTTATTCTCCCCTTTTACAATGAGGTTTCACATGATTGTGTAAGCACCTCTGGCTGGACCTCACATCCTAAGATTTAGATGTATCAAATATAGTAAACAGAATACTCAGCTAGTGATAGCCGAATCTACTTTTGCCCGTTTGTTCGTTACTGACAAACTGCTTAATATTGCATTTTATCTCTGTTTAAGTGCCCAGCAAATGTAGTCGAAAACCTCAATCTGGCTCATTGAACTCAGTATTGCATATAAATAATAAAGAAAACTCCGTTGGACTAGCATGTATATATATATATATATATAATATTATAGTAGGATAATCCGGATTTCCGTACAACCACTTTACAAGTTCAGTTTATAGCTAGTAAACCTACGCCTAAATCTAAGGTAGGTGCTTACCTTCAATCATGTGTGGACTTAAATATAAAAGGCTCACCTTTTTACAGTATTATACATTTGATCTGCTCAATGTTACAGGGGCATCCAACTGACAAAAGCCCAGCAAAGCCCTTCATTCGACAGTACCGTGTGACGTTCGCAATTACTATTAATTTGCGTCCTCCTTCCTAACACAGTCAATAGAAAGGGATACCCAACGGCTCTATGGATGCCTGACGTTTTCACTTACGGATTCGATAGTAGTTTTTTTTCTCATACATCGCACGACTTGATACATTTCTGGCTGTGCTTCTTTTTAAAAAAGGTGTACATCGAGTACTGGTGATTCATCTGTGATTATGGAGGCGTTCCGACTTGAGAATACTTGTTAAGTACACGTAAATATGCCTTCATCGTGCTTCGATATCCCTGCATTTCCATTATATGTTAGGATCGAAGCAAATCGTAGGCCATTTTATACTTGGCGTAATGTGTCCCCCTATGTACAGTATCTATTGTAAGCGCCGTTATAGTTCTATTGGCTCTTTCAAGTACGCGCATAGGAATTCTACCATAAAAGCTTCGGCACATAATAGTGACAAGTCACAATACGTATAGACATTGCAGGTTGCTTCTGCTGTCAAGCGAAAAAGGCCAGTAGCAGTATGATATGTTTATGACAATGGGGAGGTTACGGACCCCAACTCGAAAATACGCTTCGTACATTAATTATGTATCGCAGAAAAACTTTGCCTATCTCTTGGATCGTAAGTGATCTCCTGCTAGATTTTAGATACGAAAACACTCTTTCTGACAAAGCTCTCAGAAGTTAATTCACGTTTGTTGCGGTAATAAATTTCTGGAGGATACAAAATAAGGGCATCCAAGGAGCATATATATATATGCCAGCAGATTGTTGGAGTCTCAGTTCATTCCAAATTAGATCTGTGTATGAGCAAAATAAGGACCTCGGATCGCACCAAAATGCAACGGGGCCTGATCAGCCTAAATAATTTGTGCTTACGTATCTTAGTTTTCGTGTAGTCACGCGTAGCTTCGTCCTGTACTCTCATTATTATGAGTAATCATTATTTTCTTCTGGAGATGGCTGCATTTCCAGGCATGTACATACTTATACCGGAATACATAGGAACATGTAACTTTTAAAATTGTAAGGAGTTGTGCGACTCTGTATAACAGTCGCTCCATGCTGTACTGCTATTTTCAATCGAGCCTATGTCCTGAGTGCAAATTCAAACCTTTTAGAGTTTTTTTTCAATCAGCTGCTCCTTTTTTCAGTTGGTTATGTAAAAAACCGATAATTCGAGCGCCGTAAGTGTAACTTAAAGCGTTTCATTGAGGTCTTAAATGGTTACATTGGCAGTTTACGGGCGGATACTAGAATGATGGCTCACAATGTCGCGGAAAGTTTTGCTTCACGCAATTGTATTTTACCTCTATAAACAGAATTACGTCACCCATCTATAACAGGTGACTGAAATGTTTTGTAATAAAAATTTAATCGTGGTCTGTATAGAATCAGTGCTTCAGCAGTTGTGCCATTTATACATTTCTAACGGTTCCAAGACCGAAAATAATTTACAACACAGTTCTCACCTTGCTGCCAAAACGCTATTAGCAGGACAGCGTATGGTAAATTACATTCGCAGACGGAGGCCTTCAGGGCCGCAGGAGGAGGTTTCAAAAAAGGGACGAAAACGTTTAACGCTGCTAGGTAGCATGGCGCAAACGATTGAAAAGCCGGCCACCTGAGCGTCAGACGGTCACCTTGTGCCGGCAAAGCCAATACAACATTTATGGTATGTCAAACGCCGAATGCGAAACAGAAAGATCCATCGCCGATGAATTTATCTGTTTTACCGCCAGTGTAGGGAGGTGCACATGTAACTACTGGAACTTCATTTGTCAGACGGCCTATTACGGAAGGCACGAACTTCGGCAACAGGTCTTAGCCGATCATTGTACCCGAAGAAGGAAAGATTTAAATATGCAGCGACTAGTTTCAAGAGCTTACTTCAAACTCGAGTAATCACATGTGTTTAGAATATATTCCACGTTCGGAGACAAGTCATTAGAAAATTTTACAGTTTACATGATCTGTCCACCCGTATCCAGTGGTTATCGCGTTTTTTTTTTAATTTTTCTCAAAAATGTACGTGACAGTGTAATTTCGCGACAGCTCTATGACCCCCTAACCGAAACAGTGCACAACGCCCAAAATTTTCACAAGAAAACAAACCTTCCAATATATAATTTCTCCGTTATTGATCCTCTTTCGCGTAGAATGTAGGATTACTTAATCATTCATTGTAGCACATAAACAAAAAGAAGACATCAAATAAGAGAGTTACAATTGGCGCATTGTACCGCTTTCCTGGCCAATGTATTAACTAAGACAACTGTGTGCGACAATTGATAACGCTGTCGTCTCGATCATTTGAAAAGTTTATCGAAAAATCCACAAGTAGCCAACGGTGACCTTGTTACCAGAGCATTCGCTGATCCCCTTTGTTCTTCAGTTTCAAGATGAATCGACTTGTTTGGGCATATCTATGGACCATATAGAGACATGCAAAAGATTCCGAACCATCGGGATACAGAGTGCCCTTTCTGGAACAGGTAGATAGTAGATCGACGAGTTTGAAACTGACAAATAAGCGTT